TTCCATACTGATTGTATGTTCAGTGGCAGAGAGTAGCCTTACCCACATATAGTTATTGGTCGCACAAGAAACAACGCAGATGATCGACCTTCTTACAGTTGATTTTCAATTAACTGTTTTAGAAATCGCATTTTGCAAGCCACGTAAATCTGACTTGTAGCAGAGACACTAAAATAGAAACCATTCTGTTGGCATAATGGATACTCAGGTATACACTCATGAAACAGAATAATTACGAAGCAAGTCTGTCACATCCGTAATAAATTATTAGAACTGATGTAAAGCGCCAGTAGCCAAATTGATGATGAACTAAAAAGATGGCAAATCTGTATTCACGTGGTTGGCACACAGCATAGATAAATAAGTTGGAATAAGCGGAATGGAAATTGTCAAACGGCGAAGAGTAATTGTGTCAGTGGTGGCTTGAACACTGGCAGCAGTTACAGACATAAGGTCAGAAACTGTAGCGAATTCGACAAAATGAAGTTTAGCGGCCTCTAAAAAGACCCGCTTGATAATCTGCGTTCTGTAGTGAATCTGAATCAAACTGACGCAGCTCAAAGACCCGGTTATTTTTGTAACGTGGAAATGCCTTTTTTACTGTACACGTAGTCTGTCCGCTATTCTTAAGTGGAAACCGGCACACTGCGGTTTGGCATGACCCATTCGCCTCTTTTAACCGTTACGCAAATGTTTCGTTACGCAACCCAATTGAATGACCCTTTTCAATGCTTTTTTCTTTACCCATTTGCAATATTTTTTAGCATAGATTTGTTTTGCATGATCCATGGCCCTGAAATTGAATCATTTGCCTAAGGAGGTGAAGCTCTGTAAGGTAGAAGAACCCATGGCCATAGTTTTAAACTTTCAAAGACAGCAAATAGACCTCTGTTTGACCTATTTCGACAACGTTGCCCTTTCACAAAAACTAAGCGTTCTGAAACCCAGAAACCGAAAAGAAAAAAGTACCCGTTAACCGATGTATATAAAGATGCTGCGAAAATTTGAACAGAGCTAAGCACACGGGGCAAGAAAGAGAACGCCATGTCTACGGGCTTGTACGTGACGGTTTGCTGCACGACTGTGCTTAGTTTGTTCACGTTGATCACATGCATATTTTTCGCACCGATAATCTACAGCGAGATCAACAGCATATGGACCGAACTAGATCATCAGATGGATGAATTCAAGGTAGGTAGCAGAGGATAATTTACAGACCGAAGCTTTATGACTTAATTTAAGGTAGAGTCGAACCTGATCTGGAATGAAATGATCACCTTGGATACACGAAGACAGAAACGACAGTATAGACCGATGATCTTTTCTGACGAAAGCATTGCTACCTCCACCACAACAACAAGAAGAACAACGACAACGGCCAGCACGACGTCGTCGACTAGTCACCGTACCGCCGCTCCTCCTGACATAGGATACGGTCCTCCAATGGGTTGGAATATACGCGTATTCTATATTGTCTAACTGAACTTTGAATACTTAGGGGGAAGAGATTTACAAAAGTACGTTCCACCGCCTGAGGAGCAACCAATCGCAAATGGTAACTTTTACATTTTCTCGTCCTGCTAAGTAACAGATAATGCCCGGTAAGGCAAATGGGCCAAACAGAACAAATTTAATCGTCAAATTTTAATTTTTAATTTAATTACGTCAAACTGAAAGGAATGATGGAATAATTTAGTCTGTAATGTGGTCTACTGCCATCTATAATATTGCCTAATATCAATCTGAGATTGAATTTATTAAGGTCTAACATAATAAACCTGGATTACTATACTGTAAAGCTCTGCAAGCCTTTGACGATGACGCAAGAACAACTTCTACTATCTAAACGTGGGATGATGACTGATAGCGTCATTCGATCCATTTCTTATGCTGCTATCATGGCCTAGGTCTTCCACTTCTCTTCATGCTAAGGCGAGGGAATGATGATAAGTAAAATGGTAAGCCTGAAAGGACAAAAAACTGATAATTGGGTCAGTGTGATATAAGCACCAAAATATCAGTTTGAAGTTTACAATCCTGGTTTACTAGATGAATCGTGTTACGAGATTGATCATTTACAGCGCGTGCTCGCACTGTGACAATAAACATATGAACTACTCACTTTTTATACTTGCATGCTTTTCAAGAGCGATCAGTGAATATCATACCAGAGCAGGATCCATCAATTTGTTTGCAACAGTATATTATGAAACCATAGAATGAATCATCAAGTATCGCCATGTTCGTATATGAAAGTATGAAAGAATTTTTCAAGCCGCACTGTGGTAAATAACTCTTTCAAGACAATGTTTTAAGACATATTTCATCCCCCTCCATTACTCCTACTTGCCATTTAACATACTATTATTACGATTTTGAGTGATTATGCAGTATAATATAAGGTGTGCTAGCTCACATAACATCGTACGTGATGAGGGTTTAGTGGCTAAAGCATAGAAAATGGTACGAGACACATCTGAACTGAAGGTACCCAAATACCATGGAGCCGTGGCTTTTTTAAGTGGTCCCTTAGGCAAGTAACAGCAAAAAGACACTGCAATATGAGTGAAACCTAATCTTTTTACCAGCCATCTAAGTTGAGTTTAAAGAAGATAAAGTAGAAAATTTTATAGGTACAATTTTAATAGCAATTCAGTTTGATGCTCCTTTTGCTTCTAAGCGCTGCGATTTACGAGAAAATCTTTCAGTATATGGCAGCGTACCTATGAAACAGTTTTCCAAAGACAAATCAGGAAAAAGCAGAGAAGAATATCACGAGAAGCGCAAATCATGGGAAGAACTATGTCAGGAAACAGTCAGAAAGCATCGCCCCGGAAGCAAATGCCAATGCAGTTGCGACAAAGCGAAATTGTGTCCAAGGGGCCAAAGAGGCCCACCCGGAATGCCTGGCCCAGACGGTCCCAATGGGGCCAATGGCATGCCAGGTAATCCAGGTGTCGATGCGGCCGATGTTTATGCTGTTGTTCAACAATATCGAGGATGTATCTACTGTCCAAGCTGCGTTGCTGGACCGAGAGGTCCACCTGGAGAACCAGGTAAATAAATTTTGCAATATTTATAACTTTGTGAAAGTTTATGACATTGCTACAGGGCCTCAAGGCTTAGCCGGTTGTTCGGGTCGCCCTGGAACTCCGGGAACCAACGGTTCTCCTGGATCGCCAGGTGACTGCGGTCCTATGGGACCCAAGGGTCCTCCGGGAAAACGAGGACCTAAAGGATTGCCTGGTGAAGATTGCAAGACATTTGTTGGCGTCAAAGGAAAGAAAGGAATCAAAGGAATCAGAGGTCCAGTTGGCGAGAAAGGAGTCCGAGGAAAAGATGGAAAGAAAGGCGAAGTTGGAGACAAAGGAGAAATGGGAATACCAGGCCCGCGAGGTCGATCTGGCAAAATGGGAGAAGCAGGTCCACCTGGAATTCGTGGGAATCCTGGTCCAGATTCTCTATATTGCCCATGTCCTGCGCGTACACC